ATAAATAGGGACATGTATGATTCATTTAGCACCATAACATGCCCAGAGGGTGCAGAGATGCATTCAAACAGGGTATGAGGAAATATTTACAAAGGCACTTATTTACAGAGACACGAGGTATACAGACTGTGCTCATAAAGTTATGCAGAGAAATATTTGTTATTTTTTTAGTTAAAACTATGCTGTACAATACCTTTTAATACATCTGTTTGACTACTTTATGTTCTTGTTTGTTTGGGCTGGGTTTTTAGTGCCCTAATCTTTTGGTTATACACCTTATTTTAATAATACAGGTGGAAAAGTTGTTAGCCAGATTTTGAGCTAAAGAGTAGAAATAGTTTTTGTCCATAGGTAGATTTGTTAATATTTGTAACCATCAAGTAATGCTATCCAGTAACGAAGATTATTGTGAATATAATCCAGGAGCCAGAGGATTGAAGCAATAACAAAAGACTTTTTTTTTATTTTCTTATGTAAGTAGACTGGCAGAGATCCAGCTCTCTCATTCTGAAAGCTAGTCTGAATCAACAACACAGTAGATATTCTGGAGAAGTTACAACAAACTGAAACATGTGAATTCCTCTTGCTTTAGAAAGAGAATAGTTTCCCTGTTATGGAAAATCCACCACTTAAAATCAATTCAAAAGCGAAAACAAAATGTAAAAATTAGTCAAATTTTTTTGTTTACCCATTTGACCAATTTGGATAAATTGACTCTAGTCTGATTCACATTGCAATTGGTCAAGAGTCTAAGAGATTACTAAATTGGTATCCTGGGGGTGGAGGCCCACAAGTGACTAAAGAGTAGTTATTTAGGATGGTACATTGGGGGAAAAGTGAGTAATGGGATAAAATTAAGAAATAGAAATATTAGTCTGAATATCAGGGAAAGCTTCCTGACAGTGACAATATTAGGCTATGGAATAATTTCCCCAAGAAAAACCCTCCACTAGCAGGGAAATGATTTTAGTTGTCTTCTATAATGTATCTATCTGTCTCTGGTTGGCTATCATGGGAAAGGGCTGGCTGATTTTAGTACTGGAACTAATATGAATGCATATGTGAAGATGAGGAATGCATTAATAGTGTTGTGAGCAAGACACCAGGGCTGTGTCTAGGCTGCATCCCTTTTCCGTAAAAGGGATGCAAATTAGACATATCGCAATTGCAAATGAAGTGGGGATTTAAATCCCTCCCGCTTTATTAGCATAAAAATGGCTGCTGCTTTTTTCCGGCTCAGAGCTTTGACGGAAGAAAGCACCAGTCTAGACGCGGATCTTTCAGAAAAGAAAGCCTTTTCCGAAAGATCCCTTATCCCTCTTAAAATAAGGGATAAGGGATCTTTCGGAAAAGGCTTTATTTTCCGAAAGATCCGCGTCTAGACTGGCGCTTTTTCCGGCAAAGCTCCGAGCCGGAAAAAAGCGGCAGCCATTTTTATGCTAATGAAGCGGGGGGGATTTAAATCCCCACTTCATTTGCAATTGTGATATGTCTAATTTGCATCCCTTTTACGGAAAAGGGATGCAGTCTAGACACAGCCTAGAAGTAATTCTTCTGCTTTACACTGCACTGATTAAGCCTCAATTGGAGTATGTGTCCAATTCTGGGCACCACATCTTTCTTGAAAGGTGGAGGAATTGGAGGGGATTCAGAGAAGAGCAACAGAAATAATTAAAGGCCCAGTCTTCCCACATGACCTATGAGGGAAGACTGAAAGAATTGCGTTTGTTTACTTTGGAAAAAAGAAGACCAAGAGGGGACATAATAGTAGTTTTCAACTACCTAAAAGGGTGTTACAAGGACAAGGGAGAAAAATTGTTCTCCGTGACCTTTGATGATAGGACAAGAAGCGTAATTGTTTCTTTTCAACATACTCTTTAATACATATTCTATATATTATACATATTTTACTATCATGCATCTATATGACTAAGTAATGAATAAGTTTGAAACCAGGGGTATAACCCATTAGCTCTTTGTATTAAATCCTATTTATTATTCCTTTCTTGCCACAAACTACTGGCTTAGAGAATGAATTAATGTACTTCTCTAGAAAGAACAGCAGAGAGCACTAAAGAGCACAAAGGATAGTGAGTGATCTCAGACACAAGACACATTGCTTCCTTCATGGCTCACCTTATAATAAATTGTCTGTCTGTGACTGTATTTCAATTGCTATAAACTAATTCACATTAATAGAAGAGTTTGAGGCCTTATGTATGCTACCATTACAACTGAGCAAAAAGACAAAAATCACAGCTGTTGTCTGACCAGGTTGGACCCAGTTAGGTCCCAACCACACTTCAAATTTTAACTGTTTTCACTGTGGTCAGGAGATGAATTACAAAGGGATCTCCTGATTGGGTTATTTGGAGTCTAGATGAGGATGGAGTATTATGGCAGTCATGAGGGCTTTACAAGGCTGTTTCCAGATTCTGTGCAAGATTATATAGTAGCTGTAGTTTTATAATGATCCATCTTTCTACCTGAGTTGGGAACAGATAAGGATCCTGCCTTCATACTCAAAAAGTGACAGGTGATTTATATGAAGTACATATTGTATGTGCTTTTTATAACAGGACTGACTTATGAGCTAAAGATGCACAAGCAACTTCTGGAATCACAATAGAATGTAATTTTATAAAATGGAATTAAAAGCTAATAAAATTCAAGATCAATATTACCTTTCCTTTATTCTCCTTATTCTTGAAATAAGTCCAGCTATGGACCCCACTGTACACTCTTCCCTGAGTTCTGTGCATTGAGGATCCCTCTCAGATTCTCACCACTATGAATAAAAGCAACGAGGCTGCAACATCATCCTTTTGGAAATTGGACCATATGTTTGTGGAGCACAGATCAGAGATAGAGGAGGTTCTGGGTGGACAGTCCAAGCAGTGAGTGGGAGATCTGCAGTGAATGTACATTATTTCCCCCTCTGTTGGGATGACCACACCAACCATGAAAAGGTTAAGGAAGCTGAGAAAGGTCCAATTAGTGCAATAGGCCACACATGAGGCTGAGGCTGCAGAAACAACCCCTAATTGGAAGATGAAGTTCAGCTGAGCAAGTGTGGGGTTGGGCTAATATAAAGTCAGGAAGGAGGCAAATGAAGTGTAAAAATATAATTATGAAGGTAAAAAAAGAATTTGAATAACAGCTAGCCAAAAAGTAATAGCAATTTTTTAAGCTCACCAGAAGCAGGAAGACTGCTGAACAACCATTGGGATCACTGGACAATCAAGATGCTGTGGATAGCAGCAGATTTAAAACAACATGAAGTATTTCTTCACATAATGCATAGTCAACCTATGAAACTCCTTGCCAGAGGATATTGTGAAGGCCAGGACTATAATAAGTTTCAAAAAAGAACTAGATCAATTCATGGAAGATAGGTCTATCAATGGCCATTAGCTCGGATGGGGAGGGATGGTATCCCTAACTTCTGTGTGTCAGGGTTGGGAATAGGTGACGGGGGATGGCTTACTTGATGAATATCTGTTCTGTTCAATCTTTCTGGAGCACTTGGCCTTAGCCACAGTCAAAAGACAGAATGCTAAGCTAGATGGACCTTTGTTCTGACCCAGTACAGCCATTCTTATGTTCTTGTCTGAGCTCCAAATAAACATCGTTATACACTTCCTTATAACACCCCTGTGAGGTGAGTATTATCAGGGCTCTCCTACACGGCTACATTTCTATCACTTAGGATTTATGGTGCCCTACACAGGATTATTAAACTGGTGCCCCTATGCCTAGGTTTGTCTAGCAAAAAAAAAAGAGAACCCACCAATACATTAAAATCATGTTCCTACCCAAGACCTCACCCCTTTGAGGCCACATCCTCTCTGTTCCTATCCTCTCCATCACTTGTTGTCCCAGCCATTATACACTCTCACTTGGTTGAGAGAGGAGGTGCAGGCTTTGAAGTGGGAATGAGGGATTTGGGTGTGGCAAGGGGTGAGAAGTACAAGGGAGGGAATTTGGATGCAGGAGAAGGGGATGCTGGGGGGGGTCTACTTGGTAACCCTACTGGCAGCAGCATCCACGTTCACAGCTCAAACCAACTGAGAGGGAAGCCGCCGAGCATCCACATGCACAGCTCAAACCAGCTGAGAGGGTTCTCCCCTCTCAGTTGTTCTGCAGCATTTAAACACACCGTGCAGGCACTCCCTCGGCCCCACACAGTGCCCGGACTGGCACCGGGGAATTTAAAGTGCCAGTGCCAGTCCCTCCCCTTCCTAGAGACCCCAGCAGCCAATGCCTTCCCTCATACTGTGCTGCAGGCTGAGGCTCTCTCTAGGACCCAGCAGCCCTGCTGTTGTCTGCTCACTGCTTCCTGTTTCTGCGGGCAGAGTGGTGCCCCAGAAATACTGTGGTGCCTACGCAACTGCTTATTCTGCGTATGCCTAAGGACGGCCCTGAGTATGGGAGAGGATTCTGGCCTTGGGAGGGTGGGGTTGTAGGAGGGTGCGCAGAGTGTGGGAAGGAGTTGTGACCTGGACGAGGTGGGGAAGAGGATACAGAGGATTTGGGTAGTGACTTGTGGCAGGGAGTTGAAGGGAGAGAAGAGCTGCAGTGCCAGAGGCAGGCTCCTGCTGGGAGGCACTTACCTAGGTGGCTCCTAGTCAGCAGTCTTGTTGCAAATATATGCTCTAGCTCTAGCAAATATTGCTTAAAGTTCTAAAATATATTGCATGTATTTTATTCATTTATACCTAAGTTTTAAAATGAAATACCTTCAGTTCAAGAAAAATATTTACACAAAAATCTACAATTTGAGTGTTACGGAAAACCAGCAATTGTTTATAAATTAAGCACAATAAAAAAGTTTTGCTAAATTTTTATCACTACTCCATATTTTTCAATCCATCTTCCTAAAGTTTTGCCTGCCCAGTAGTTATTCTGGGAAGCTTGGCAAGAATCAAAACTGGAACTTTAAAAATATAGTATTTTAAAAGTGTGTATGTGGTTTACTTTTTAAAAGTCATTTGAAAGTTCTATACATTTAAAGGAGGAAGAACTATCAACTGCGTCACACAAAACAGAGCTAGTATTAATGTGATCTGGTGTAGGTGATCTAATGAAAAATTCATTAGAATTTTTTTTTTTTTTTTTTTAAAGTCAGTTTTTCCCACTGAAAATTTTTGATCGTGACTATTCCTCATAACAGAAAACTTTTTTAAAAAAGGAATATAATTGTAGCATTTACCTATGTATTTTGCAAGGTCATGAAATTCAGGTCTGTTGGCAATGAGTTCTTCTTTTGTTGGAATATTTATTCCCATGTAACAAGGAAATCTTATGGGAGGTGAAGCCACACGGATGTGCACCTGAAGGAAAACAGTTTCAATAATACATTATCGATTAAAGCTTTTATCTTGATAAAAGTCATTGCTGTTACTTAATGTTATAATCAAACATGAAAGCCCCAATCCTGTAAGATGATCAGCACAGATAAAGACCGGTCTCTACTTGGAGCCCCACTCTGCATGCATATAAGGATCCTCTGTGCACATCACATTGCAGGATCAGTGTCTTGGGTCTCTCCAGACTCCAAAAGAAGGATATCGGTAAAGAGATTTAAAAGTAACATTAAAAGCTTTTAAAATGGCTCTTCATTTTACAATAAAACAATTTTGTCTTTGCAACTTTTCTATTAAACACAGATTTTATTTAAAGTTGTGAGTAATCCAATTGAAATTTAATGGGGATACTTATGGTTATAAAAATAAGCACACGTGTAAATGGTCACAGGCTCTGTGTCTAGTTTGTGTTTACTGACAGCTTTGGTTATTCAGAGCACATTTGCTTTTGTGACACAAACTAGCACATTGATTCATATATGAAACAGAAAGTTAAACTAGAAGCAATATTTTCCTTGAGATTTAGGACAAGTGCCTATTTACCTAAGAAGTAGGGTTAAAAACAATACCACAGCAGTGATACAAGAGGTAGAAAGATACAGCAGCCACACTGATTGATTTTTAGATAAAACTTTCTTGATTTGTCAATTACATTTTAAGCCATGTCTACATTACCATTTTTGTTGGTATAACTTATGTAGCTCAGGGGTGTGGAAAAAACACACCACCTTCCACGCAATAGAAGTTACACCAACAGAAGCATTTGGTAGACAGCACTATGTTGGCAGGAGAGTGGCCACGAGTGATCTTACAGCAGAGCAGCTACATCAGTAAAGCTGTGCCACTGTAAGCGTGCTGATGTAGACACACCTGTAGTTTAAAATAGGGAACGTTATCCCTTTTTTTACTCCTTCTTGCATTCAAGTTTTTCTAATGCAGATTTCCCTAAGATCAAGGAATCACACAAGAAATTTTTGTACCCAGTTATCTTTGTACTTATTATTGCATATTTGCTTTATGTTTTTACTAGCTTTCTTCCTACCACACCTACTAAATGCACTAAGAAAGTGTTTCTCAACTTTTTTTTTTAATAAAGTAGCCCTTTAAAAAATAAAATAAATAAATAATAATAATTAAAGTACCCCCAATATCTACAGTTTTCAGACACACACATTTTTTCCCCACCATTGCAACACATTTGTTTAAACAACTTAATCGTAGCCGGGCAGGCAATGAATATTTTGGGTGTAAAAAGTACAAAAATAATAAAGGTCTGTAAAACTCAAAACAAGAATTCAATTTTCTCCAAATTTCAGTGGTGTTGACATACCCCCCCAGACTTCTTGAGTACCCCTAAGGGTACTCTTACCACTGGTTGAGAAACACTGCACTAAGGGAAACATTCTGAAGTGCAAATTAAACACTCTATCGCGTGTTTATTCCAAATTTCCTTGTACATTTGCGTTTTAGCTGATGAAAGTGACCGTACCTCCTTAGCACCAGATTCCCTGAGCAACTTTATTATGGGAGATATTGTATTGCCTCGCACAATAGAGTCATCAATTAGCACAACTCTTTTGCCTTTAAAGTTGTCAGATAGGACTCCAAATTTTTTTGCCACTCCAAGCTGTCTTAACCGCATATTTGGTTGAATAAAAGTTCTTCCGACATATCGATTTTTACAGAGTACTTCAACGTATGGCAGCCCACACTACAAGGAAGAGAGAGTTACACACACAGTTAAATAAAATAGATACAGTAAACTTCTGATAATCTGGCACCTTTAGGACCCAGGGGGTGCCAGATTATCAAATATGCCAGACTATCAGAAGGGGGGGCTGATAGAGTGGCGTGGGAGGGGATGCCACCCCAGACTCCTCATAGCCCCCGCTTACGATAGTCCAGCTCTGCAGGACCACTGGATGCCGGACAACTGGAGTTTTACTGTATGTTAAAAATAAGGATTGGGATTGTAACTATTTTGAAGATTTTTAAAGATGACCTGCAGATTAAGGCTAATCAAAGGCCTTTAGCAAAGCCAATATAGTGGTATCAGTGAAGAGCCCTAGTAGACAGGAACAGCCTTTTTAAACTATATGTTGCACTGGTGCAGCATACCACAATACCGGACAACTGGAGTTTTACTGTATGTTAAAAATAAGGATTGGGATTGTAACTATTTTGAAGATTTTTAAAGATGACCTGCAGATTAAGGCTAATCAAAGGCCTTTAGCAAAGCCAATATAGTGGTATCAGTGAAGAGCCCTAGTAGACAGGAACAGCCTTTTTAAACTATATGTTGCACTGGTGCAGCATACCACAATATGAAACCAGGTTCACATAAAATCCACAAGAGGAAACACCAAACAACTTCTTACCTATATTTTGAAATTGTCCTTCAAGATGTGTTGCTCATCTCCATTCCATTTCAGGTGTGTGCCTGCCCACGTGAACAATTGGAGACTTCTGCCTTAGTTGTATCTGTAGAGTTAGCGGTGGTGCACTCTGGAATGCCGCGCTTACGCATCGGTATATCAGGTGCTGGCAGCCAGCCCTATGCCCTCTCAGCTCCTTCTTGCTGGCAACTTCAAAAGAGCAGCAGCAAGGCAGATAATGGAATGGACATAAGCAACACATCTTGAAGAACAACAATTATGAAAGGCACGTAAGCATTTTTTTCTTGTTCAAGTGCTTGCTCATGTTGATTCCATTCTAGGTGACTCATAAGCACTATCCCTAGAGATAGGCTCGATGTTCATAGTGGTGTGGCTTGCAGCACTGCTTTACCAAAGCAAGCATCGTCTTGAGCTCCCTGGGAAAGCACATGTGGACATGTGAACAGGTAGTGATCGTGCAGATACCTTAAATGAGCACCTAGCCCAGGAAGGCCACTGCTAAGGCCTGTGGTCTATTTGAGCGCATGGAGATAACTGCTAGTGGAGACACCTTTACTTGATCATAAATGGATGTAGACAGTGATCCAAGATGAAATCCTCTGGGAGGGGGGAGGACACCAGACAACTTTTCATCCTATCTGCCGCTGTGGAGAATAACCGAGACAACTTGCTAATGGTTTGGTCCTGTGGACGTAGAAGGCTAGCACTCTCCTGGTGTCCAGTGAGGCTTTAGAAAGAAGACTGACAAGAGTATGTCCTGGTTCATGGGAAACCCTGAAGGCCCCTTAGGCAGGAAAACCAGACCCAGCTGCAGTTGGACCTTGTCCTTGAACAACCTGGTATTCTGAGTTCTGAGGCAAGTGCCCTAATCTCAGAAACCCTTTAGGCACAAGTTAACTGCCACCATGAATGACATCTTCCAGAAGAGCAGAAAATAACAGGACACCAAGGGCTCAAAAGGGGCTCTTCATGAATTGCACAAGTACCAGATTATTGTCCCATGGAAGGACAGCATCCCAGATTTGAGGGAGAACTGCTTCAGACCTTTTAAGAACTGTATTCATCATGTCATGCATGAAGACTGATCTACAGGAACGAGGAAGGTGAAAAGCCTATATGACAGCCAAGTGGACCTTAATGGATGAAAACAACAATCCCTTGAGTTTAAGATGCAGAGAGGACTGCTCAGGCCCAACACTCTAGGACAAAGTCCAGCACATGAAGCATTTTCATTCAGCCAGATAGATGGCTCTAGTGACTGGCTTTCTGCTTCCCAGAAGGATCTGCTAGACTCTGGCTGAGCACTCCTCCTCCTATGTAGTAAACCATGAAGCAACCAAACTGCGAGTTGCATCGCTGTCAGGTTTGGGTGCAGAAGCCAGCTGTCATGCCGCAACAAGAGATCCAGCCAGCGGGCAACAGTATCAGGGCCAATGCTGACAGATCTGTAAGCATGCTGAACTAGTGCTGGCAAGGCCAAGCCAAGGCTACCAAGATGACCAAGGTCTTTATCATGCTTAATCTTCAGGAAGCCCCGATAGAGGAATGGCACTAGTGGGAAAGTGTACAACAGAGCCCCCCATCCCAGGAGCAGAATGGCAACCAACAGGTAGTGCCTGTTGATCCCACGGAATAAGTAGAAATGGCACGTCCTGTTCTGGAAAGTTGTAAGCAAAGTCCATCTAGGGAAATCCTCACTTTCAGAAGATAGGGTTGACCACATAAGGGTGGAGAGACCATTCACAGTGAGATGAGAATATTCTGCTGAGGCGACCTGCTTAGTTCCAGAAAAGTATGCTGCCATGAGATAAATGGCATGCTGCACACAAGTCCCAGAGCCAGCGGGCTTCCTGACACAGGGCTGTTGATCTAGCTTTTCTTTGTTTGTTGATATAAAACATCATGGTGTTGGTCAGGACTTGAACCAACTTGTCCTGCAACTGGCACTGAAAAGCCTAGCAGGCCAGGTGACCTTCCCAGAGCTCCCTAACATTCGTGTCAACAGTCAACCACTGACCAGCATCCCTATATACTGAGCCCACAGGTGAATCCCCCAGCCTAGATCTGAGGCATCAGACACCAGAGTCAAGGACATGGAGGGGGCTGCGAAGGGAGATTCCTGTAAGACTGATGCAGTGTCCTGCCACCACACCAGAGACACGTGAACAAGGTCTGACACTATAACTACCAGGTTCAGGTTGGGCTTGTTGAGGATGCAAACCAATGCCAACTATATCCAGCAGTCAGAGATGGAACCAGACATGGTGGACCATGGAAGTATAGGCTGCAATATTACCTATCAACGTTAGGCAGCTGCAGTTGGGGGTGAGTGAATGATCCTTACAATGGGGGATTACATCAAACATGGCTTAGAAGCAGGACTCCCCATGAGGAATGTTTTTGCCCACATTAGAGTTGAGAACCATCCCTATATACTCTACATCTGCGGTCACCAACCGGTAGATCGCGATCTACCGATCGATCTCAGGGGCTCTAAGAGTCGCTCTAGAGCCCTCTCTCAACTGAACGCCTGCACAGTACATTTCAATTTGATTTCCTCATTTTAGGAGCAGCTACTCACCGACCAACAGCATAGGTAAGTAGCTGCGAGGAATGGTGGGAGCTGGGAGGTCGGGAGGGCTGACACACCCCGGCCAGCTGGCTGTGGCTTTCAGCTGAAAGAGGCTGCCCTGCGCTCCAGCTGATCCGGCAGCTTCTCCTCTGTGCCTGCCCACATGAAGTGTGGGGCACCCTGGCTGAGCACCATGGCCAGGGTGGAGCGAGGTCCACGGATCAGCTGGAGTACGGTTCAGCCTCCTTCAGGCTGAACACCACAGCCAGCTGGCCAGGCAGCTTCCCCTCTGCACCAGCCCACGTGGAGCATGTTGCACCTTGGCTGAGTGCCATGGCCAGCTGGCCGGGCAGCCGCTTCTCTTCGCCTCAGCCCAGAGGGAGCGCAGGATAGAGGCTTCCCCTCCATGGCTGGGGTAGGGAACTCCCTGCCCCCAACCTTTTTACCTCTCCCCTGCTCCCCTATTCCCTCTCCCTTGCCCTCCACCCTGCTGCAGAAACCTGCCCTCTCTCTGCAGAAACCTGCCCCGCAGCACCCTGCCCCCCCTGCAGAAACCAGTTCCCTCTGGCACCCTGTCCCCTACTGCAGAAACCTGTCCCCCTGACTTCCCCACTACAGAAACTTGTCCCTCTGCAGAAACCTGTTCCCCACAGCACCCTGTCCCCTGCTGCAGAAACCTGTCCTACCACCCTGCCCCCTCTCCCCTGCCCCCGCTGGCACCCTGTTCCTTGCTCCAGAACCCACTAGCACCCCTCCCCAGTACTGTGTTTCCTTTGCTCCCAAATGACTTTTCTATGGGTCAGTGACCCCTGACTCAAGGCAGGTTCCCTGCCATTCTCATAAATAAAGACAATGCAGAAACTTTTTGTTTAACATAGTTTCTGCACCATCCACACACCACAAATCTGTGTCCTGAGCCCATCATACTCCCAACCTCCCTGCCCTGAGCCCCTCACGTACCCCAACCCAAAGTCCTGCACCCTCACATCCACAAGCCTGTGGCTTGCTCAGTCCCCCAACCCCCCACCTGCCCCAACACTGCCCGGCCTGGAATCCCCTCCCCGAGCCAGTGTCCCCTTCTTCACCTCCTCCTGCATCCAGATTTCCTCCCAGAGCTTGCACCTCACTCCTTCCCACACCCAAATTCCTCATTCCCACCCCAGAGATTACACATCCTGTCTCAACCCAGCGAGGGTCCAGCTAGACTGCAGGAGTTTTTCAGGATTCTGGAGCTATCCCAGAAAAACTCTTCTGCATCCAGGGTTGTGTTTGTTCTTCCGCTTTTTTAGTGGAAGAGCAAACATGCTCTTTCGGTCACTCCTATATTCCTCTTTCCACAAGGAATAAGGGAGGTTCCGAAAGAAGGGTTTTTTTTCCTGACATTTGGTCCAGTCTAGACAGGCCAAATGTTGGAAAAACCTCTTCCTACAAAAGCAGTATAAAGGTTGGGGATAGCAAGTGATGGAGAGCAGGAGAATAGAGAGGGCGGGGCTTCAAGGAAGGAGTGGGGCTTCAAGAAAGGAGCAGGGCGGTAGATCTTAGCTTGGTCTGTCATTTAAAAAGTGATCTTGGGTGTAAAAAGGTTGGAGACGACTGCTCTACATGTTGCACTGGCACATTGGCTGACTTCTTTTTGTTCACTAGCAGCCCCAAATTGTGGCCTGCGGCTCACACCCAATTGAGGCTGCTCTGCACATGATCCTATGGCTTGCCCTCGATGAGCCAATCATCAAGATAAAGATAAACCTGGACCTCAACAGGCATCTCAAGTAAGCAAGCTACTGGGTCTATGCATTTTGCAAAAGTCTGAGAGGCAAGGATAGGCCAAAGGGGAGAGTTGTAAACTGGAAATGGCCCTCGTCCACTATGACGCATAGGAATTGGGTGCTGGGAAGATACAGACATGGAAATAAGTTTCACTCATGTTGAGTATGCATACCAGTGTCCCAAATCTAGGGAGAGAACGATGGAGGCCAGAGATATAATATGAAACTTTGACTTCTTGAGATATCTGTTGAGTCATCATAGGAATGTAATTTTGCTCTCAGGATCAAGAAATAATGTGAGTAGAACCTTTTCCCCCTCATTTTCTCAGGGACCTCCTCTACTGCCCACCCTGGCATTCAGCTGTTCACCTCCTGAACAGGGAACTGCTTGTGAGAAATGGCTCTGAAAATGGACGGGGAAGAGAAAGGTTGCAAGGGTGAGGCAGCTGAAAATTGGAGGGTGCAGCCTGATGTCATGCTGCTTAACACTCAACAGTCCAAGGTAACCCTTGATCAGGCTGAATAGAAAGGACAGACATGGTTGAGGAAAACCTGGTTGAGGCAAACACAGGGAGGTGACATTGGGGTGTGTCATTCTTGAATGCACCCTCAAAGTGAGCACTTCCCACCCTGGCGGACTTTTGCCAAGCAAGGCTGTGCCAGTGCGCAGGAGAATGAAGGGCAGCAGCAGCTGAAACCAGCATCCCTTTTCCTTGCAAGTCCCTGCTGAGGCTGCCACTGCCCTGGTGGGAGGGTTGGTTGGAATGGCTGCCATGCAGACTGAGGATTATGCATCCTCAATAAACAGAGAGCAGTGTGAGTGTCCTTTAGGCCATGTGGCATCGTGTTCTTCCTGTCCTGATATGAGACACTTCTCTTTTATATGGGTCTCTTCAAACAGCTGCTATGCAGGTCACTAATAAGCACAGGCTTGTTGCAGTCCAAGCAGGACTTAAAACCCAGATTACCTGATCACAAGCTAACTAAAACCAGAAAAAGAAAACTACCACTGAAATTGACCACTATGGGAGGTAAGAAAGAACTGAGAATGTGAAGCAGGGCCAGCGGCACCTGATATACTGATGCATAAGCGTTCCTCTCCAGAGGGCACCACAGCCAACTGTGCTGCTAAGGCAGAATTCTCTGAAAACTTTGCACATTCATACATCTAAAATGGAATCAACATGAGCAGGGACTTGAAGAACCATCATCTTTATGGTAAAGGAGAGTCTAGAGTAGGGATGTTAAGATTAGATTAATCAACTAATCGAATAGTCGATGGAAATTCCATCAACTATTCGATTAGTTGATAAAGGTGCTTCCACTTTGAAATGTAGCAAGAGCCTGCCCGGCAGTTGCTACATTTCAAAGGCGGAAGTGCCGCATGGCGTTCTGCTTTTGAAACACACAAGAGCCCCTGCTAAGACTCTTGTACATTTCGCTGCTGTGCCCCTGCTCCTTCCCACTGAGCTGGAGAGAACCAGCTTTTATGCCAGCTCCTCCTCCTCTCTCCCCCCCCCCCACTTGCTGGCTCTTTCTGATAGAGACAGTGGGGGTGGAGGTAAAGAGGGAAGCAACTAGTTGACTAGTGTGTCAACTATCCAATAAGCTTTTACTTATTGGATAGTCAATTAGTCGCTCACATCCCAAGTCTAGAGTATTGCACAAAAAGTTAGAAACACTAGGAAGTGAGGGGAAGAATCAATATTAAAAAAGAATCCATCCAGGATACCTTTTGTGCATAACCTAGTGCTGCTGGTGTTGCAGATTCTGGTACTGTGCTAACCAAGTCTGCTTCCACTGGTGCTTCAATAGCAAGCTGCTGGCCGCATCTTCTCCTGACTGAATATACCATTTGACCTATGGACATTGGGAGGATAATAATTGTTTTAATTTATGTATATCTGATTTAGCTGTCATCTTGTACACTAGAGGAAATTCTACAGTAAATTTTAAGTACAGTTATTTAAAGAAAAATAGGAAGACTCAGTAATAAAGAGATATTCACAATCACAAATCACCTTACACCTTTCATTTCCTCCGACACTATCCATGTTGCTTTCCATCTTTCAGTGAGGACCAAATCCTGCTTGTTTTATTGAGGTCATTATACTTATTGACAGAACTAGTCACTTGAGTAAGACAAGCAGGATTTGAACCTCAATTTTTATTCTCTCCATTGCATTTGATGAAAAACCAGGCTAAATAGCTTGTAATGAGCATCAAATAGAGGCCAGTTCTAAAACAGTTTTAGCATGGTAGTAATCATAAGAAAAGGATGATAACTAATAGAACTGAAAACTAAATTAAAAAGCATTCATAGGAATGGTTGTTTCTTGTAAGGCAAGGTACATATGCTTTAATAAATCCTAAATGTTTTCTAAAATGATAAAATAGTATCTTATATACCAGGTGGGGAACTTTTTTGGGTCAGGCACAGCTATACCCACAGAAAAATCAGTGAGGCGGAGGTCAGCAGGAGCTGGAGTGCAAGTATGGGCTCCTCAGTGCTGGGTAGGGAGGAGCCCTGAGCTCTAGGGGCTGGATTGAGGCAAGCTGGGGGCCGCAATTGGCCTCTGGGCCTAAGGTTCCCCACCCCTATTATACATTTTAAGGCCAGAAGAGACCTCTAGATTATGAGACCTCTTCAATTTAGGCCAAAGAATTTAATCCAGTCACTCCAGTACTAAGTGTGCTGATTAAATGCAATTTAAATAGTCAATGGAATTTGCATCGACTACTTGATTAGTCAGTAAGGGGGGGAAACTGCAGATCCGACCCTGGAAGATAACCCCGCTGAAGCTCTGCCTTTTAAATGTAATAAGAGCCAGGTGGCTCTTACTACATTTAAAAGGCAGAGGCGCAGCATCTGGGACTAGGTGCGAGCCGGGACTCAGATGTCCCAGCTTGTGCCTGGTCCTCCACTATGCCTCTGCCTCCACTGCCCCACCCCCTGTGCAGATGGTGCCCGAGGTGTGTATGGAACCTGCTTTTAAGAGGTAGCTGAGGAGGAGGGAGAGAGGAAGCAACTAGTTGAGTAGTAACTCGACTAGTCGTTTATGTCCCTACCCAGTACTAAACTCAATAACTTGTGTTGACTACAACATATCTTCCAAAAAGACATCCAGTGCTGATTCAAGGACATCAAGCAAAGTACAAATCTACCACTTCCATTAGTACTTGATTCCATTGCTTAATAACTCTCAATTTTTAAAAAACAAAAACTGTACCTTATCCCTAAATTTAATTTGTTGGGATTTACCTTTCCAGCCATTGTTATGTCTTTTTCTGCTAGATTACTATGACCTTTAGTTCCCAATTTCTCCCCAGGAAGGTCCCTTCCCAATCTTCATTTGAAAAGTTAAACAGATTTAGCCCCTTTAGTCTCTCACTGTTAGACCTTTATTTCCAGCCACTGAACCATTTTTGTGGCTTTTCTTTACACCCTCTCCAATTCTTCAATATCCTTTTCAAAATGTGGTCCCCAGAACTGGATGCAGTATTCTAGTATTGAGTGCATCAATGACGTATACAGAGAAAAACCTCTTCCTTCCTCCTACTCACTAATCCTGTTCATAGACCCAAGTATCGCATTAGCGCCCTTTTGACATAGCATTGTCGTGTGAGCTCCATGTTAAGCTTCTTGTGCACTGTGGCCCCTCAATTGTTCAGAGAGTCACTGCTTTCCAGGATACAGTCCCCCATATCAATATGCCTGCATCCCTTGTGTTCACTATAAATTTATCTTCATACCTTCAAAAATACTGTCGGGCCTTGCAAAGTAGACATATTCAAAGATACAGAAGGCAGGTGGATCTCCTTCAGGTCTTGGTACGATTTCCAGTGTTTGGACATCATATCTGGATATCTTCACAATCTCTCCAGGGAGGACTTCGCGATAATACCTGGAAGTAATATTTGCAGTTTTTAGAAATTTCCATACTTCTGCATGTTAATTTTAGAATACTGTCTGAACGTGGTGTTTTAGATGCTGCTTGTAATTATTAGAACTGGGAGCACTGGCTGTTGGGAGCCTGGGAGGACAGGAAATAGGAAGGAGGGGGGAGAAGATTAGCCAGGGCTGAGTGAGAGTTACAGAGGGGTGCAGCAGCTTTGTAAAGAGGTTTCACTTTTTGTAAATAAAGTCTTTCTGAAGTTTGTTAGGACCTTGCTTGCATGATACAATGTGAGTTTAACAGGACGTGGCTTTCGGTTATTCAGAAGTCACACATTATTAGATGATTATTTTAAACTTGACCCTTTGGCTCCCAGAATTGGACCTTGTCAGCGCTAATGTAAGACTAGTGCAGTAACACTGGGAGCTTATATTAGTACCTGAAAAAAAGGTGAATTTCCAGTCTTAGCACTAAAGGTTAAGGACATCCTCCCATCACATGAAACAGTCTAGAAGACACTAAACTGAGATTAACATACATTATTTACAAATTTATGGTAGAGTCAAGTCCTGGTCATCATGAGATGGACAAATGGACTCTTAATATAGTCTTCAATTGTTTAGTTGCTTTTCTATGAAAGCTGAATAATACAAATCATGCCATAAAATCAAGATGATGTGGAATGAAGAATGTAGTCATAAGAACTGTCACAAAAGTTAGTAACTAAGGTCTTGTCAATATCAAAATAGAAGAAGAAACTATATATTGGTCGACGGCAGCTACAAAATTAGTAAGGGTAGGATTATTGGAATATAAATCTGTTGTCCACATACTTAGATTATATACTTTCATAATTAGCACAATCATTAGAAAAAAAATTGAAATGGGAGATGTTAGTTTCTATTAGTAGACTTACTACTGTTGTTTAAGTGTACACCTTCAAATTGACATTCTTGGGGGAATTCTGTGCTACTGCAAACTCATGCATAGGATTCGTGTCCAGCTCGGAAAAGATGCAGTTCCACCTTTCACCCACCAGAGGCTGCTGTAGTACCAGAACAGCCCACAAGCAGCTGCATTCATTATACCACCCTGCCAGTGGAGCTGTTACCTGAATCTTTTGTGGTCTGTATTATTAAACATATTTGCTGACAGATATTTTGAAATGCCTTATCAAAATAATTGAAACTGGCATGATTATATGGTGTTATTTTGACAAATAAAATATGCAGAATTTTAAAATGTGTGCAGAATTTTTAGGCACAGAATTCCCCCAGGAGTAAATGGAGTTGAGTTATCCAAATCATTCCATCCAGTCACTAGAACGTAAATAGCAAAAGGAAGCAGTTCATTTTCACAATACTTATATTTTTCACATTTACTGACCATGAATCAAGATATGCATATGTTCAGTACTGAAAAATATTCATTGCACATCACACACTCCAGCAGATGCAGATTGAGTGACTGATGAATGCTGGAGATGCAATTTAGAAAGGGATGCATATTCCTTAGCCAGATACTGAAATTAGTGGACTAGCTGATAACATTGATAAAACTTGGTATTTATATATAGTGCAAGAGGCCTCCACTGATGATTCTTCATAGAAGTATCTCCATCTCAGAAGGTGGGTCCAAAGTAAAACAAAGCTGGTGCCAACAGTTATTGATACATAGATATGACAGAAGTCATCACAGAGGAGAACACAGAAAGAAGCTACCATGCAACAATGTAATAGATTACTGAAAGTGTAGTCAAAAGTTACTGGTTTCCAATTTTTGCTCTGAATTTATTTTAATTTTGTGATTGTGCATTTCCTGCAATTTTCACCTTGATTGTTCCACATTAAGCAGACACAATTTTACACACAGATTTGTTAAATGCCTGTTTAGCAAAGTATGTGCACATTCCTCATTATAGGTATGAATGGGAATTTGTGGATTTCAAAGACATTTAATTTTCAGTGAAAAAACAAACTACAGTGAACAGAGAACATTTATCCTGTTTTTTTAAAAAAAACTATCTATAGGGCTTGTCTTTATTAATTTCAGTAACGCCTCAACTTGAATCCTGCCTGCACATAAAAACTCAACTTGAGTGTGGAAGAGATTCTAACTGAGGTGGCTAACTGTCAGGAAATACAGGATACAATCAATACAACTCACCAGATGGTATTAATACAACAATTCCACAGCTGGATTATTTTACATTGTCACTCTGTTCAAAGCTAACTGAAAAACAATTAAACTACAGTGAAGCTACAGCCATAGAATTTCTGCAGATGACTTCAGAATACACTATTACCATATTTCTTTAAATCCATAAACTGACAGATACAGCACAAAAGATTACATGTGAATGTTATCATTGGCTAGTGAAATCTCTATTCATTGTTTGAGGTATTTACAAGTCATCTTGTATACAAAGGAACTTACTGTGCACCAATAGATAAAAAGCTACAGGATTCAGAGGAGACCACCCATCCTTCTGTTTCACTGTTTTTCTTCCCTGCAATGAAGTTTTCAATTAAAGTAACATTATCTTCACAGTCCTTGGAACTATCATCACTAAATTCTTTACATTTCTGCAGCCATTTACTTTTGTAATCACATACTCATGCAAGTCAAATAGTCATGATTTCTGAATAGAAAGTTTGTAATCAAAAACTGCTGTAACATTTCTTGAAAACTATTCTTACGGGAACATTATATTATCTTGTCCTTGAGAGATTAGAAGCAACAGTTTCACACGGTCACTGTTCACAAGAACAATTCAGATGTATTACTCTTTCCATCCCCTCCAATTCCCATCTCAATAGATTTTTGGGCCCCAAAATTATGTATATCCATGCTTTTGTTTTACTAAGAAATTCCTTATTCTCTGTATATTAAATAGCTACTCCAGTGCTACTGAAATCAACAAAAGGGTTCTCTGGGACTTTAGTGGACATTGACTGGGCCTAAAGTGAAGATTCTCAAAGATAGGCAAATGAAAGGAAACAAATGGGCAGATCAGTGATGTAACAGGATAAACACGCTAATATATTTGGATGTTATGAACATTTTCTAACAGATGATTCTTAGAAAAAGCTCACACACAATCCCCCATGCCGTATCAATTTATTTGGACAAATAAAGGATTTATACATTCTTCCTGCAGTTAAAAGTGTCACGTTCCTACATTTTTGGCACAGTAAGTCTACATGGCTTCTCCCTGAAAATTACTGTTCTCTCTCAGGGCACTGAGATGGGAAGGTGTGTATAATTCTCCTTGGGGATTACCTTCCATGAAAGACCAGATCTTATCACAACTCAGAAAATTTTGGCTTGCAAAAACATGAAGAGCCTTTGTTCAAATCCACATATTTGAATTTTTATGTTAACTCCTTCCCATAATATATGGGCAAATGGATTTCCCAGATCCTCCCAGAAGAATCCCTAAAAAAAGCTTTTTCCATCAATAAAGCAAATAAGTGCCAGTATTCAATGCTTATAAGCAACCCTACAACAGAAGACAAAGAAGAAAAAATAGGTCCTGTATCTGGCTACCCCCACTTTTCTCCTCAGTCAGAAGGGAAAAATCTCTCACCAATTATCTCTGCTGCAGCTGGGCTGCCTCTCCCTGCTGCTGCCAGGAGAGAAGAAGGGTTTACTCTTAAGAGATAAGGGATGCTTCCAATTTCCTTAAAATTTCATCCTATCATTGAAATGTATTTTACAACTCAACCAATATTGGGATATTACTGTTCCCGATATTCAGACCCAGCAATATTTTTAAGAAAAATAATTTCAAATATATGAATGTAGAGATGATTCCCTCCTTAAAGGCAAATGTATTATTTATATTGCTCTGTACATGTAAACACACTGATGACTGGTTATCTAGCCTTTACATAGTATTTACCTTTTCCAGTCATATTGCCTACTGAAACGAGACGACCAATGCAGAGTGGACGATTCCCATAGGGATCACGTACGGCATAGATTATGTCTTTATGCATCATTAGTAGTGAATATGATGTAGGAGTTTCATTCATTAAATTTTTTATTCTGAAATGAGATGAAGTAAATACAATAGGCTATGTTCTGTTACTTACTACTGCTGTATTTCACATTCAATACTTGTTTCTAATTCCAGGGCCCACCCCTTACCTTGCCACCCAGTCTGGGGTATCATCATTCTCTAGTGGAGGTGTGAATGCCAGCAGCTGGGTGATCAATTCGCTGTCAGAACTGGTAGACAGTCCCACACCATGTCTCATCAGCTTTTAAAAAAAAATAAGTTAAAATACAGTGTTATCAGTCTATGAAACCACTGCACCATGTTTAGTTACATGCCCTGAAACTTTAACATAGATGTGTCATTAAGAGCCCAAACCATGTGCTATATATTTTGCCCAAGGAACTTGTGCACAAAATCATAGAACTGGAAGAGACCTCAGAAGGTCATCAAGTCCAGCCCCCTGCTCTAGGCAGGACCAATTCCAACTAAATCAACCCAGCCAGGGCTTTGTCAAGCCGAGACTTAAACACCTCTAGGGATGGAGACTCCACTACTTCCCTAGGTAACCCATTCCAGTGCTTCACCACCCTCCTAGTGAAATAGTTTTTCCTAATATCCAACCTGGACCTCTCCCACCGCAACTTGAGACCATTGCTCCTTGTTCTGCCATCTGTCGCTACTGAGACCAGCCTCTCTCCATCCTCTTTGGAACCTCCCTTCAGGAAGTTGAAGGCTGCTATCAAATCCCCCCTCACTCTTCTCTTCTGCAGACTAAACAGACCCAAGTCCCTCAGCCTCTCCTCGTAGGTCATATGCTCCGGCCCCCTAATCATTTTGGTTGCCCTCCGCTGGACCCTCTCCAATGCGTCCACATCCTTTTTGTAGTGGGGGGCCCAGAACTCATATAAATCAGCTCATATAAAACAACACATTGAACTGCATCCCTCATCCTTCTTTTCATTGCTTTGCTAAGCATAAACCAAAGTTCACACACCCTAATGTCCACAATGCTAATTGGGATCTGGAGATTTTGTCACTTTCTCTGTTGCTTACACAGTGAACTCAAGCAGGGCGGAGAACAAGTGGAGAGAGGAAATAGAGATAAACAGTGAATGGAGAAGTGACTGATGAGAGAGTGTAAGAGGAAATAAACAGCCCAAGATGTGATAGACTAAATCCAGTCTGTAATCTTTCTAGTCTTGTGAGCTCAACACGAAGTGCATCTAAGGAAGAGACCACACCTGCAAAACATCTAGCCTGCTGTTCATGCATATTCAGTGTTTTACGCTAACCTTTGTAGGTCATCTCACAGCCTAAAGCAGTGGTCACCAACTGGTAGATCGTGAAGCCTCTGACAGGTGATCTTGACTGATTTGGCCAAGAGGCCATCAAGTGCTGGCTCTTCAGCTGCCTGTCCCCCGCCCCTCTTAACTGCAGTGCGTCTCCTGCCCTTTGCCTTGGAGCTGTCCCCTTAGGAGCCTCTGGCTTTCTGTGTAGGGCAGGGGAGGGTGAGGGGTGCTCATCCCAAGGTGCCCCCTCTCCCACCCTGTATCTCATCTCCACAGAGCAGAGAGGAGGCACAACAGGACTCAAGATGGAGTTTACTGACTGCTTCAGGGAGTGGGTCTGCCTTATCCCCACTGCACCACCCATCAGGAGCTACTTGAGGTAAGCAGTGCCCAGCTGGAGCCCACATCCCAAAACCCTACCCCAGTCATGAACCCCCTCCTGCAACCCAAATCCCAGCCCCAAGCACCCCTGTATCCAAACGCCCTCCCAGAGCCTGTAGCTAGAACCCCCTCCAGCACCCCAACTGCCTGCCCCAGGCTCAGCTCAGAGCCCCTCTCACACTCCAGATCCTTTAATCCAAGACCAGAGCCTGCAACCCAACCCTCTGCCCCTGCCTGGTGAAAGGTAGGGAGGGTGGAGGAGGGAGGGGAAACTGGAATGAGCAGGAGGTGGGGTAAGGGTGTTTGGGTTGGAGGTAGAGCTTGGATTGCACTTAAATTCAAAAAGTGATCTCGTGCTTAAAAAGGTTGGAGACACCTGTCCTAAAGAATAAAAGGCTGGATGCCATTTTAGTCCATCACCACATTTACAGCAATGCTTGATCATAAAGTTAACCCATCATTTAAAAACCAATCACAGTATTTATCTTGATACATTCTTGTGCTGGTAGTAACATCCACCAATTGACAACATTATGACTAAAGTACCACTACCTTTAGAAAGTTACATTTACAGTTCTTTGATGTTGTTGTATGTTCCCTTTTCCTTTGAACAGGGTTCAAAGCATCTGTGAAGTTTTTTATTCTGCTCTGCAATGTTCTCCCCCCCCCCTTTTTTAAAAGTCTACAATATCTAATTTTTTACTAACACTATATAGTTTCCACTACCATTTTCAATGTCCATTATAACTTTCTCAAACGGATGACAAAAATAGATACGTTAGATGAGGACATATCAATATATTAGATTAATTTTTCTAATCACTCTTTGCTTTCTCTAATGACTACCATTCAATGGACAGATTCAAACTGAGCTATTTATAGCTGTATATGAATTAGCTGGCCTATGGGATCAACAAACAGAACAAAAAAGAAAAGGAGATTATTATTCCCTAAAGGATTTGAAAATTAAAAACTTTGTTTGTCAGTGTGCTGCCCAATCTAATACTTCAGAGTATGGACTTCTTCACCATTGTCTTATGTTTTCAGCAACATAAAGGATTATGTATTACATAAGAGGTGTGACTAATTTTTGCCTCCTACTCATTAATATAGGATACTGGAAAACCCAGGACTGATTCCTACCTTTCTTCTGAGTTGTTTGGCATTTATTAATTCACCATTGTGTGCCACAGCAATCTTTCCATGAAGAGTTTCTACAACAAAAGGTTGGCAGTTCTCTAATTCAGAGATTCCTGAAGTGGAGTACCTGGTGTGACCAATTCCGAGGTTTGAAACATACAGCTTCTTCAGATTGTCTTCACTGAATACATGATTAATAAGACCCATACCCTTGCAGAAAAAAAAATATATTTGTTATTGTTTCCAGCAATACCATCTTTATGCCAGCACTTTACAAGCAAAAGGAAAAAAGCCCACAAAGAAAGGGTAATAAAGGAAAACTTACCTCTAGAAAGACAAGATAGGCAAGTTTCAAGAAATGGGAACAATATATGAAGAGGCCATGGAGTCACCTGTTTATATCAGGTTAACACACAACATTGGGGACTGGGGAGAACTTATTTGGAGCATATTTTGTTTTCAGACAATAAGAAAATATCCATCGAAAAGATTTATCCATTGAAAAGGCAATAAGAAATATCACTCAAAGAAAATATCCACTGAAAAATCACTAGTAAAAGAAAGTTTGGGGATGCTGAGTTTATATCCAAATTTAATGCAAGAAGTTCAAGTAGCTTTGCTCTTTATTGTTAGTTTAAGTTGTAAAAGCTCAACTACATTCATTCTTTAATTTTAGAGAGGATACTGTAAAACAAAAATATTTCAATACCAGATATTTGTGCTTTTCTTGAAGAGAAATCAGATAATATATATCAGCACCATAATGAATCTGTTTTTTACACCAGGTTCAGGAGCCCCAGAAGATCCTAGTGTATTCAATAGTCAAGGCAGTGCTGCTCCTGGCAACAAGCATTGTAAGGGAGACATTTTAAAAGCATGTGTGGTCTAAGGCTATGTCTCCACTTGCTGCATGGGACATCGATCTTCTGGCATTCAATTTAGGGGGTCTAGTTAAGACCTGCTAAATTGAATGCCAAGGGCAGCAGCTCTGGTTGGTGCTGGTACCTCTCACAGTCACAAGGAGTAAGGGAAACAGACAGGAGCATTTGCTTCCATCAGCCTCCCTCTGTGAAGACGGTGTCAAGCTTGTCTTAAAGTAAGCCAACTCCAGCTACATATTTTGCGTGCCTTAATTTGACCTTCCAGGGTGTAGTCCTGGCCTAAGTAATTAAACCACAGGACAAGACTGGGAATTAAGAGCTCCAATTTCTATTCTGAACTCTGGCAAAGACTTTTTTTGTGACCTTCAGAAAATTTCTTCATGTGTTTAAATCTCTACAACAAACATGATATTTACTTCATTGGAGTTGTGCAACTTTATTCATTAAAGAGTTTTGAATGTCTTGGAGGCTCAGAAGTTACATTGATAAGCACAAAATAAATAACTAGATGTGAGACAAGGAAATGTAAAAAATACTGTTTGAATCTGAAAGCTAAAGGAAAGAAGAGAGATGTTAGCACCAACCGAATTTCAATGAAAAACATAAAACGCTACTATGCAACAGATAAATACAAGACATGGCAAAAAGAGCAAGTTCCGGACTATACACCAAGCTGCATTAGTATACCTAAGGCCATGTCTACAACTATTGCTGCTATAAGCAGTCCAGCTATGATAGCGCAGACGTTTCCCATATCACTGAAAGAAGTTTTTCAGTCAATGGAGCTAATCCACCTCTCCAACAATATGGCTATGTTTACACTGGGGATTTGGCTGACCTAATTATAGGTGCTCAGAGCACAAAATTTTTCACAGCTCTGAACAAAATAGCTAGGTCAACCTAATTTAAGTGTAGGACAGATTTCATGATATAACTTTAGGTCAATTTAATTACATCTGAGCAGAACCCTTTATAGGCTCTTCATTTAAAACAGTGCGTGGGTCAGGCCAGTAAATTCACAATGCAAGCTAAACATAATTTTATTAGTTTACATTGGTTATGGTCACACAGGAATTTGCGCCAGTTTTAATTAAATCAGTTTTAAACTAGTACAACTTCAAGGGCAAAACCTTATTCACTGGTCTGTGCCATGCACATTCTTTTTAAAACAATAGGCCTCTGTAATAGACAGCAAGAGGGGCATGTGGGTCTGCGGGAGCTGATACATGTGGGGAGCTGGCTTGAAAGTTGGCTCCCCATGCATATTTGCTCCCACCTCCCCGCTCACCCGCCTCACTGCTATAACTCTATCAGAGGCAGCAGTGCAGGAGAAAGGGAGGCAGGAGGATACAACGCTCCTGAGGAGCCTGCTTAAAGTCAGCTTCTCATGGGCACTGGCTCCTGCCCCTCCCCGGCTGCCTCTGGGTGTGTGTAGGCTTATCAGTTTGCTCAACTATATGCTAACATCCCTACTATGACTTAAGACCAGTGAAGGCTTTGGCTATTTTAGGCCTGTTCACATACTCTGGATTTCTATCAGGTTGGTAACAGAGAGAAGATTCTTCAGATTTCTCTTCAGTCTCTGGATCTATTAATTTTAGTGTGCACCCTTTCACTCTTTGATGCATCCTCCATGATACTTTCTGAAGCCAGAGTCAGTCACAGATAGGTCTGCATCTAGGCATTAAGGTGTAGCTAGTTTCAAAGCTTGTATTCTTTTTTATCTTACTATTTTTCCCCCCATTTTACCAGAGCCCTGATGGTTTCACACATCACTACCTACGACTGCCAGGACCAAGCCATTTCATTCACCAGAGCTAATGCATTAGCAGAAAGGGGCTCTGGTGCTGACTGCTCCAGAACAGATTGCTTTTTGCTGCAGTGAAAAGTTAATTGCAGCATGATTGGAGCTGTGTTGGTCTCAGGATTTTAGAGAAACAAGGTACATGAGATAATATCTGTTATTGGACCCAGAGCCGGACTAAAGGGAGGGCGAGACGGGCAGCTGCCCAGGGCGCCAACCGATGGGGGGCGTCTGATGGCAGCTGTAAGGGGTGCACGGCACCCCTCAGAGCTGCCATCAGGCACCGTGCACCCGGCTCCTGGCGGGCTGCAGTGGCTGCCGGGGGCGGGAGCCGCATTAACCCCCGCAGTGCTCTTCCCCCAACGGCTGCGGGGCTCTGCACAGCCAGGCGTGGCCTGGCCAGGCGGCCCTGGGCTGTGCGCCAGCGGCGATGGCAGGCAGTGCATGTGCCGTGCGCCCGCCCACGCACCCCGTGGGCAGTCTCGCATATGCGTCGTGTGCCTGGGGGCGGGCCCACGCATGCCCTATGCACCCAGGGCGGCACCACCCGCCAGGGGCCCCAAAATAGCTTGAGCCAGCCCTGATTGGACCAACTTCTGTTGGTGAAAGACAAGATATTGCTTCACCCACCTTGTTTCTTTGAAAGGTTGAAGCAGCCTTGAAGGATAACCGGTTTTGTTTTTGATTTTTTTAAAATAAGCTTAATGCTGGTCTATACACCAGTAAGTTAAAGGATAGAATCTGGTACTCTCATTGTGAAAAAATCTTGTTATTTTTGATCTCTTGATTATTTCCTGAAACAGAGACTTTCCTTGTGTACCTCAGTTGGAAATTTGATATTTTTCCCCTGACTTTTCCTTTGAATACTCCTTATTTCTATCTATTTTTGAAGACTGATTTTTGTTTCATTTCTTTAAAATGGCAGAAAAATAGTAAAAGCTCTTAAATGTTTACCTTGTGCACTTTGAATGTTTGGGCTGAGTCTCCATCACTTGTCACTATTCCACCACTCTCCTGGCCCCTGTGGAAAAAATTAGCATAAGCACAGACTGATTCATGGAATACAACATCCGAAGTATTAACTTGTAAAGAGTAAGAGAACACAACACTTTTTAAACACAAATTGTTAGGTGCCTTATTTTTATGGACTTACAAGAAATGTAGTTTTGATAGGTTCGTGTTGCACTTTATATAAAATATGTAAGGCTCGAATCAAAGCCCTCCAACATCAATTAAAGTCTTTCCACTAACTTCAACAGGTGTTGACATTTTATAGTCTAATTCCAGCATGGACATAAAATACTAGCAGCTCTTTGAATTGAAAGGCCACTTAAAATGGGGGCAGTTTCCAGCTCTCCATTAAACATTTATACACTCAGAAAAGGCAAAACAAAAACAAAAAACAAACAAAAACACCTTATGTTCAACCCAATCTGACTTTTTCCTTCAGACTGTGGTTTGATTTTTTTAAGCCTGGGCACTCAATTCTCTTACTCAGGCACCAAAATATGAATCCAAAGTAATGAGTTAGCAACTACAACAGGTAGGATACCTATACTATATCAAAGAAATTTGTGCACCCATATGCAAAACTTCTTAACTTCTCTCAAGTAAGAAAATTAGGCATAAGAACATAAGAACGGCCAAACTTGGTCAGACCAAAGGTCCAGCTAGTCCAGTATCTGGTCTGCCAACAGTGGCTGATCCAGGATGCCCCAGAGGGTGGGAACACAACAGGTAATCATCATGTGATCCCTCTCCTAGCATCCATTTTCAGACAAACAGAGGCTAGAAACACCATTCCTACCCATCTTGGCTAATAGCTATTGATGGACCTAACCTCCATGAATCTAGCTCTTTTTTGAACCCTATTGAAATCTTCACAACATCCTCTGGCAAGGAGTTTCACAGGCTGACTGTGTGCTGCGTGATAAACTTCCTTTTGTTTGTTTTAAACCTGCTGCCTATTAATTTAATTTGGTGACCTCTAGTTCTTATATTGTGGGAATAAGTAAATAACTTTTCCTTATTCACTTTTTCCATACCAGTCGTGATTTTATAGACCATTATTATATCCCCCCTTAGTCTCCTCGTTTCTAAGATGAAAAGTCCATGTCTTTTTAATCTCTCTTCATATGGGACCCATTCCAAACCCCTAATCATTTGTGTTGCCCTTTTCTGAACCTTTTCCAATTCCAATATATCTTTTTTGAGAGGAGGCAACCACATCTGTATGCAGTATTCAATACGTGGGAGTGCCATGGTTTTATACAGAGGCAATAAGATATTTTCTGTCTTATTCTCTATCCCTTTTTAAATGATTCCTAACATTCGATTTGCTTTTTTGAATGCCCCTGTACAGTGAAACAAAAAACAGGACTATGTAGCACTTTAAAGACTAACAAGATGGTTTATTAGGTGATGAGCTTTCGTGGGCCAGACCCACTTCCTCAGATCAAATACAGGCAGTCCCCGAGTTACGCGGATCCTACTTATGTCGGATCCGCAGTTACGAACGGGGCCGTTCCTCTCCCTAGTCTCCAGCAGACCAGGGAGAGGAAGCAAAGCGGCGGAACACGTGGGCAGCGGACAGGGCTGTCCGCTGCCCACGCGCTCCGAGGCTTGGCTCTGCTTTGCCCCCCCCTCCCCGTCCCCCTGGTCTGCAGACAAACCGGGCAGCACCCCAGCTGTTCTGCCCCAGGCATCCTGATTCAGCCACTGCTGGTCAGATTCAGCAGCGGCTGGAT